CTGGTTCCGTCCCATTAACATTCCCAGGTCTTTGGGCTCTTGCGGCGATTTTCTTCCATGATCCTTAATAGCCGATTTCATCCAGTAAACAATGGATTTCCAACAACACTGTTTTCTCCCGCACGCATCCAAAATCTAAAGTTTTATTTTCTCTTATTTCGTCGTATCCTAAGACCAGTTTGCCCTACCTGTCTTAGTTACTTGTTGACACGATGGATCTCATAAACAATCTGGGCGCGGGGTTTGTTGGAGTGACAGTTGCGTGCATATTTAATTTTGCTCCTCTCTTGTCTATTTTTCATTAATTCTGGCCCGTAGCCTGACGGATCACAAACCTGACTTGTAATCTGAGACTGCGGGTTTGAGCCTGCGTAGTGGCATAGCGACCCTCGCAGCATTCTTATCCCACGTGCGACTCATGGTTGTCGCGCGGCACCGAAGCATCGGTACTGCATACTGGCGTACTGCTGATGCCTTTCTTTCTTTTCTTTTTTTCCTTGATATTATTTTCCAGTACAAGTGACAAGTGCTGAAAATCATCCCATCTGAATGCATGCAGCTTATTTTGACCAGATTTGACTCGATTCGTCACTTTCGCCATCAGAGCAACTGCATAGATACTGTGATCTCCCAGTCATTGTCTCTCAGAATTCGCCCTATGATCGGTTTTGTCTTCTTTGCTGTATTTCGTGTACTCGGGAGAGGGTGCACAAGCCGTGAAAGTGGTCACCTAGTTGCAACGTACAAAATTGCGTACCTCCCAGCTTCTTTAGTATTTCGAAGGAAAATCACCAGCTTGATCAAACCTCTCATTTGGACTGTGCTTCCCACTGTCGAGGCATACTTAAATTAGTCGTGGGGCACTACGCCTGTTACCGACAACATTTTATAGACTCTTGGCTTGAACCTAACAAAACATTACTCCATCGCTCAATTTTAATCTCACAGCTACTCTTGTGAACCTATTATTTTCCATAGGTCCTTGGTTCTGTTGGCGAACCAATCAATCCCTCCGCTTGGGAATGGTATTATTATTTGGTCGGGAACGGTCGATGTTCCATAGTCGACACGTTTTGGCAGACGGAAACCGGCGGTCACATGATCACTGCACTCCCAGGTGTCTCCGTAATGAAACCCGGTTGTGCGAATCGACCGTTTTTCGGTGTGGATGCACGAATAATGTCAGAAAGCGGTGAAGATTTGTCACAAGAGGCCAGCGCAAATCGCACCTCCGTGAATGGCTATCTAGTGTTTGCAAAGCCATGGCCAGGTATGATGCGAACCATCCACGGCGATCATCAACGCTTTCAGGACGTCTATTTCTCCCGGTTTCCGGGCTACTATTTGGCCGGTGATGGAGCCAAGATGGATGAAGATGGAGATTTCTGGATCACAGGTGATTTGTTTGATTTTGAACCGATACTTTCGGTCGTTTTGCCATTCCACTCTTACGTGTTAAAAATATTATGGCAGCCGATTTCAAGTGAGTCGGCAGTTGTCGCTTAAATCGCTTTCTGTCTCAAAATCGACTGATGGTCGATTGGTGCAAAGCGCCTGTTTTGTACTCCAAATGTGTCACCGGATCATGTCTGGCTAGGTGCGAGTGACGTCGCCGTACTTCTACTTCGCGCGCGACGTGGTGTTCACGTGTTAACGAAACGTCGATATGACGCACTGATGATATTTTTAGAAACTCACTGGAGATTCGACCGTAAACAGCGAATTTGTGTGCCGTGGACCGTTGCCGAAGTAGGACATGCCCTACCTTGTCCCAAACTCCCATGTTTTGGCTTTATGCCTGTAATCGAATTGCGAGCGATTTATTCTAAGCGACGGTTGCTCACCATGATTTATGCATTAGATATTGTCATACAACCCGTGACTATCTTCATGCCAGTGAAAGGTAGGATAGAGGACGCTGCGATAAGACCGGTGTTACTGTATGGATAAGTGACTCGGACACTTCGTCGCAGATTGCGGTGTACTGCTCACGTCTGGTTTGAACACCGGGTGAGCAACGCTGAAATACATCAGTTGATTTTTTTTCGGCAAGAATCCCTCTGGTGCCTCACTGAAGTGTTTGTTAAAGCTCAATCGCTTACGTTGGTTAGGTCATGTCTTCCTTTAACCCGTTGAACGTTTTCCCCGGTGTGCATTGTATGCTATCGCTGCACCAAATTAGGCGAAACTGCGAGGTTGCCAATCGAAGACGTGGCATTGAGGCCTGAGGATAGTCCACACCAGTGATTTGAGATTCTATCTGATACAGCGCAAATGCGCAGGCAGTTGCACTTTTTGCATATACTTGTTAATTTTCATTCCATCCCAATTAGTTTAACATAGTTCTTTCTTGATTCTGTTTGCATTCAACCTCATTTTCTTGTAGTCATTTGTTGTTATTCTGACTACCTGAATCGTGGCAACTGGAGCCACCGCACTTCGCTGCCTGGATCATACTTGTTCAACTGAACTGAACTGATATGTATTCTAAAGGTTCCGCTCCGCCTTGTCCTTTGCCTCTACTTTATCACTAAGCGAAACTGTACGGTTCTCACCCTTCAGGTCGTGTCTTGCTCTGTCTATCCTACAACACTGCATGACCAGTCCCCATACTTTGCTGCACTAGACAGGCGGAAATACGACTGGTGCTCGGGACATGAATCCAACCCAGTGGTGCCGTTGCTCTTACCTCATTTGGACGAATGCATGTCAACTAATCATCTCTGTGTTCCTCAGGTCCGAGTCGCTGTTATACAGTCACTTCTTTCCGAGGCACGAAATCGACCGTTGGGCGAAATGCTGCAAGCGGGAAACGTCTATTTTTCTGTTTCGGGTACGATCCCGGACTTCACTTCAAAGTTAATCGCAGTCAACATTGAGATTGTGTGTCGCAATCCATTTACATAATGGGTATTGGAATGATATCTTTCATGCACTTAACTATCGAAGAAGTATGTCAACTACTCGCCAGTCTTGACGGCACCAAGCCTGCCTGACCTGATGGGCCCCACCCACTGATTCTCAAGTCACTTTCGGCCATCATCTCTCCTACTGTGACTGACCTTTTCGACAAGTCGCTGTCTGAAGATTACTTGCCGATTGACTGGAAATGTTCGGTGGTGAAGCCTATTCCGAAAGGCGGAAACCCAAGCAAAGTAGCCAACTACAGGCTAATTTGTCTGACAATTATTTTGGCAAAGATTGTTGAGAAAATCGTGCAGAGAAGATTGCTGCAGTTGCTACAGTCAAAAGAGGTCCTGGCGCCCGCACAGCACGGTTTTATGCAAGGCCGCTCATGCATTACAAACTTGCTTGGGACGAGGCATGAATGGTTGAAGTCAGTAAGCAAGGGGAAGTCTGTCGATGTGATAATCATCGGTTTCAGTACACCTTTCGACAAGGTCAGCCATGAGGTTCTCCTTCACAAACTCAGGATGTGCGGTGTCGGTGGCTCACTGCACCAGTGGATTCGTGAATTTCTTGTTGGACGAACGTGGAGGGTACAGGTCGACGACCATCTAACTGACTGGTATCCTTTTACAAGTGGCGTACTTCAAGCACTGTGCTGGGGCCCACTCTATTCGTGATCCACATCAACCATCTGCCTCAGCTTCTCCGGTCGCCTCGTGCCTTGTTTGCGGACGACATGAAGATTTGGAGAGAAATGGAAGCTCCCGACAAATGTGGCCTACTTCAGCAAGACCTCAACCGCCTATCCACATGGTCTGCATAAGTTCATCTCCCGGTCAACCCAGGCAAGTTTGTTATTATGAGAATAGGGTAGGGTGCTGACGGCCTAACCTGCACCCTTAACGGGCAACCGTTATATCCCACACGCTTGATGAAGGACCTAAGTGTCCTCTCTCGTTACGATTTGAAGTCCGTGGACAACACGAACAGGCTATATCTTAACGGACTGCGCATGCTTTGGGCGGACAAACGTAGCTTCGGCACATGTTCTGAACAGGTTGCCACTCGGCTCTTCTCTTCCATCATTAGACGAATGCTAGAGTACGGTACGCCCGCCTACTTTCCTACTACCTGAGACGAGGCACAGAAGATCGAACGGGTCCAACACGTTACTCCCAGGTTCTTCCCGAGTTCATGTGGCTTATCTTATGAAGATTGGTGCGAGCAACTAGGACTCTACACCTTGTCCTACCGTCGGGTCGAGTCGACCTCATTATGACCTACCGTATTCTACATCTCGGTGATTTCCCTATGCTGAGGCCACTGCTGCTCTTACGAGGACCTTGCAGCACAAGCGGACACAGACACAAACTTGTCGTGCCGGATGTGAAGCGAGTTTCCCACTCCCTGTGCTTCGAACGGAGAGTGGTAAATAGTTGAGACAGTTTGCTTGAACATGTGCTGGGGGCAACATCTGTGCGGCAGTTCAAACGTTGGATTTATATTTTAACACTATTCCATTCAGAGAACGCTTGCACACATGTCACATTTGTGAGTCCTGCAATACCGTGAGTCAGATAGTTTAAATGTTACATGAGAACAATAATGATATTCACGGCTGACAATTTTTATAATGTTTTTCACCGTATTTCGAAAGAGCTGTAAAGAATTCCTTTCTGCTTGCTCTGTACTACAGTATTCGGTATTCATTATTGGGTCGGGTACTCAATCATAAGTCGGACTGGATTAGATTTCACCATCTCACCCTTGTGATGTGTCAATAGCGCTTAGTATTCCCGCTAGTCCAGCTACCTTTGGGGCTTTATCTGAACGACACTCGACATCACGTGAATTGTGCCTTTAGGGCGTACCTCGTGCACGTGTTAGCAACCAAGTGAGATTAATTCCCAAATTGCATCCTAGGGTATAATATTCCATGATTGCTCCCTTCCTGGTTCTGTGTAAGGATGTGTGTTAAATTGATATCGGATACAGCGCTTTCCGAAGTCAACGGACGACGAAACTTTCGCGCGTTTTTTTTCGACCATTTCACCCACCATTCCTGCTGTAGGAATCTACTGGGGATATCATTCCTTATCAGACAATTTTTCGCCATCATGAATGCTGAAATGTTTGCTGTCTGGACTTTGTGAGGACTTGAACTGCATAATAATCAGCCATGGAAAAATTATACTATTTCACATGGTTTACATTTGTCTAGCTACAGGCTTTCGCTTTCTGAGCATCCTACAGAACGATACACTGCAGACATTTCGCTACATTGGTCTAAGCTCACCCGAAGTGGCCCATGTACATTCTAAACATCACTCCTCTTACTGTGCTTGTCGTGTCTTAACGCAATGCGGTTCCTTGTGCGTTGCTGGTTCAGCGGAGTATACGAGCCATCATCATCATCATTATGCACATTAGCTAGAGGTGGGAAATACAGCTACTGTGCCGCAATACATAGAAGAGAAAATGGAAGAAATGCAACAGGTGCAAGCCAGCTGAGCTACTGGTAACGGATGGGAATCGTTCCGGTAAGCTACCAACCGGCTACTATGTCAACCATATAGAAAACGCAAACGTGAAGGATAAATTAATGCTTTCGTTTGACGTGGAATCATTTTTCACGAACTTGCGGTTGGTAGAGACTGTGACCTTCACTTGTGATTTCATCACTGAGAGAAACATCGATGTCGGAATTCCGGTGAACAAACTAAAAGAATTGATTCTGCGTTGTACCTTCAACGTACACTTTCTGTTTAATGAAATCTATTATAGACAGATAGCTATAGTCGCAATGGGTTTCCCCCTAGGCCCGCTTTTGGCCGACATCTTCCCTCTAAAGCTCGAACGTGGACACCTGCACACCCTTATTTCTTCATTTGCTTTATACTACCGTTACATGGAAGACACTTTATTGTCTGTGACTCTTCCACCGATTATCTAACCCTATTGGATCAATTGAGAAATAATACCCGAAGATGACATAGAAACAGAAAGTAGCGAACAAGCTTGTTTTCAGGGCTTCGTCATCAGGCTAATACAACCACAATAAAGCAAGTTAGAATAGACACAATGGGTTTAAATTGGGTCACTGAAGCAGAGTAACTAATCGATAAGTCTGTGTGTTTGGTCTGATTGAGGCGAGGTCAGTTTAACAGAGTGCATTTAACAGTGAAATTCACCAGTGAAGTTAAGCAAGATGGCTCCTTGGCGTTCTTAGACGGATTTTTGCATTGGTGTGAAAACAGGACCATCAAAAGAAGTGTTTTTCACAAAGCGACATGGATAGGTCCATACACCTACTTTCTTAGCTTTGTACCGCTGATACAAGAGGAGTTTAGTCCGTTTGTGGTGGATTAAAGGTAGACACTACTGCGCCGGGTATAAGTAGTGTGTTGGTGCAAGATGACACACCAACAGCGAGCCCTGCCGACTTCCCCAAAGTTGAAGATGACATCAGGATTACAGTTCCATGCG